GGTTGCGGTGAAGGAGTTTGATCTGGGGATGCTGAACTGTTTTGCTGTGATTGAGAATAACCAAGTGAAATATTTTGACACTTTCAGTTGGAATATGGGGGGGGGGGGGGGAGGGGGGGTGTTCCATTAGATGAAAAATGTAGTTTTTTTGACACCTTGTTGCAATTTGCAGTGAAAAAAACAAGCGTAAGAATAGCAGATGGAGGGATGGAAATTTCCATCTTTTTTTTACTTTTTTTTTTTAAACAGACATAGTAGTTAGAGACTCACTTAACAGTTCACTCGAGGACATGCTATTTACAGCTTTTAGATCATTCAATTTGTACTTTGGTGCCCAAACCTGCAATTAAGTGAATGAGATGACTTGCAAGATTTTGGGTGGTGGTATTTCTTCTCTTATCATACTAATGAAAATAACAATATAGGACTCTTGATTGTAATTACTGTGCACTTTGGGTGTGGTAGTTACAGTGTAATTACAAAATTTATTGTGGGGATATTTATACCCAGTGAAATAACCTGAAACCATCTGTAGTGCCTGAGGGGAGTTTGTGGACCCCCGATGGCTGAGGCTCAATTGATTTTCTGGAGCATCGTGATTCATTCTCATTCAGGAAGCAAAACAAAAATCATGATCGTTGCCTCTAGTTACCAGTCAGAGGGAAATCATCTGTAACTAAACCTGCTACTGATCATGGAGAAGGGATGAGCCGGGGAAGGGAGCACAAGGTCAGGGTCCTGCTTGCCTGAAGCATGGAGAGGTGTTTTGTAGGGAAGGGCTGGAGTGGGTGTGATATGAGCGGGTGGCTGAGGATGTGTTTCCAGATGCAGATGGATGCAGAGAGTTAACGACTTGCTAGGCTGGCTGTCAGGTCTATGACACAGTCTTGTTTTTGCCCTTCAGAAAGGTAATATAAAAAAATAATCCTTTTCCACAGTTCTTCCTTTCTGTCTTTCCAAGGAGTGGGGGGTGTCATTGAATGGCCATGTGCTCTGTAATAGGGAAGCTGGAAGGTGCAGCTGTTGTATGTGAGGAAAGAGTGAGAATGAATTAAAAGCAACACACATACAGCCTTTGAATGCTCAGATAACTCCGAGAAGTGATTGCTGTGCTCTCGGCTCCCATGGAATATCAATCCTCACCTCAGGAAAACCATTGGGCAAAACTTGCCTGAGGGATGTGCCTTCACACCCAGCTCACTATACTTGCCTCAACACAGCTGACTCTCAGGTGAGGGCCTTCTGCTCTGGAATCTTATCTGATTCACACAGCATTCCTTCCTTTTTGCTGGGCTTTTGGTCCTGGTCATTCTTTCCAGCCTTATATCAGTTGGGAATATAAATAATTTTGTGACCACTGTCCCTTTGAAATCAAAGTTGTTAGTTAGGATGGGGCCAGATGCTGATCCCTTCTCTCCCCTTGCTCACTTGAATGATGTTCAGTGTTAAGCATCGTGTATGGTCCATCTGACAGAGTTTGTTCCTCTGCAGCAACACTACTTGCTGATACTGTTTGAATTAATTCTGGGAGTGAGATGGTTTAGTGCTGCCAATAGTCAGTGGCTGTTGGGTGAGCACTTTGATGTTGAAATCACCTTGCACAGATGAGCAATATCACTGTTCCCAGGACCTGGAGAAATTGAGACATGATGAAGAGCCCTCAGGTCCAAGCCTGGGCTCCTTGAGAAGAAGTGATGTTTTTTCAGGCTCAGGCCAGTGCCATCATCAGCAAAAAGGACTACTTTCTGTTTTCTAAATCTTTCTGTATTTTCTCTTCTTTTTTTCTCCTTTCTCCTCCAATGTAGTTTGTTTCAGCTGCCAAAATTTGGGACTAAAAGAAGTTATTAAATAGTGGAAAGAGAAATAAATATCAATATTTACTAACTTCCCAGGGGAGGTGTATCTGAGTAGAGGTACGTGGTTGGGTGTAGAGGTTCTGCTGCCATCCAGGCTGGGCAAGGGGCAAGGTAGCTGCTGGGACAGCATTGCTTTAAGACATGCTATCCTGTTATTTTACTGTTCTTTCTAAAGACAAAACGGAGCTCTGCTTTTCTGGATCAGTATAAAGCATCCCTATGCAGAGCAGCTTTCAGCCGAAATGCAAGAGGTCTCAAGATTTCTCCCAAGCCCTGTCAATGTCTTTGTTGACAGATTTCCTCCATGGACCACATCCGCTCCCAGTTCTCAGCCAGAAGCATCAGTTGCCATGGCGACTTCTTTGGGAAAGCCATATGGGGAAAGTGCTGATGTATTTTTAGCTTTGGGTAATGAAATTGAACAGCTGGAAATAAAGGTGAGGGCCAGCCAGGCTGCTACAGGTTCATGGACCTCTATTTGGGGCCGGCACTTTGGCAGCACTGGTGGGGAGATCTGGTGGTGCTGTGCTTGGGAAGGATGCTCAGTCCTATGTCTCACGCTATGGGTGCTGTGCAGGACAGCACCTGTGAGTATGTGAGAGGAGAAAGAATCACTATAAAGAAAAGATGATAAGGAGGTGGTGTTACATGTAAAGATAAAGAGGAGGCACTGACTGAGGTCATAGCTCCTTCATGTACAGTGTGTTCAACCTATAAATAGCTCTTCAAATATACCTCTGCACAAGTGGTATTTATAGAGTGATGAGTGAATGCCAGCTCCATTTGATGTCAGGAGTCGATTTGTGAAAGATGTCTCAGACTTGGTCAAAAGTCCAGGTTTCTGAGAGCTGTGGAACAGAGCTGGACCCCAAATGTGTGGGGTTTTCCCCTCTGGTTGAGGCTCAAAGGTTGCAGTGCTGTTAAATGCACCTTCTGAAATCAGTGTATCTGGAGAAGATATTCACTGGCATTCAGATATCCTACAGCATTGCCCCTGTACAGACGTAATTTATTCGTGCAATTTGGATCAGTCTAACTTGCATGCAAACTTCTCTGAAGATAGACTCCTATTTTATTTTCTAAAACACTTCCTCAGCTCCCTGCAATATATTTGGTTCTTTCGTTTTCAGCTGTCAAAATTCTATTTTAAAATTAATTGATTTTGATGTAATATTTACTGCACTTTAGCTTTCAACACAGCATATTAAAATAGATTTCACTACAGCTGGCAGTGTCTAATGGGATTCGTTTCTACTCCAAAGGCTCTTTGCATTATGTGCCGATACTTCCAGCCGAGCTTGCTTTCAACTGTCTCCCCATACCAGCAAGCTTACACCAGCTTGGGCTGGCAGGGAGACGAGGTGAAGTGTTTTAAGCTTGAAGAAGCTACAGTTGATGCATCCCTAAACCCAAAGTGTTGGTATTATAGATCTGGCCTGATATTCATTGAAATTAATAGGATCTTCCCCTTTTGCATCAGTGGGCACTTTGACTGGATTAAAAATTGATCATATCTCATTATGATAACCACATTGGTGGTGAAGATTTAGCAGTAGGTTGCGGAGGTGCCCTGGCCCTGGCACATCACCAGGGTATTACACACAGCAGAAAGCAGCGTGTGGAAATTGGAGCAGAATTTGCTAAGGCACTGGTGTTGTCAAGGGAGGTGGCGAACTTTGATGTGAGGTGATTTAGAAACAGCTTTTGAATTGTAAAGCTCTAAATAACTTGTTAGAAAGACATCACTGAACCCATTTCTTGGTGGATTATTATGGTTCCAGCTTTTTCCTGTAGCCCCACTGCAGGGCGGCAGGTTCCTCTGTGGTATGTAGGGAGCAGAGGGAGGTGACATGCTTCCAGTCCATGGCAAGATTGCGAATATTTTCTTGTCTGAGGCTTAATGCCTGAAGTACCTAGGACTGGCCAAACTTTTTCCATCCAGTCTGTTTCCTGACACAGAACAGAGCTTTTGGTTTTTAATTCCCCTCTCCCCCCAGAATAAAAAATCCCTGCTGTGTTTTCCCTCCCAATTCTCCAATGAAATGTTTTCGCATGAAAATTAAACTCCTTTGAGCAAAGCTGCAGTGGGTCCCAGCATGCTGGTTTCTCATATATCCTCATTCCCAAAAGAGGTAAGATAAAGCATCCTGTGTTTTCCTCTCCGCAGCATGGGACAAAGGCTGTTAAACCAAATGTAAGAAATCAGCACCTCTTTCTCTCCCCACCTCCAACTGAATCCTTCAAGTAAACAGGGTTGTAACAAACTGAAATGTTAAGGTTCTCAGTCTGGCATTTGCAACAGCCAGGTCTGGGAGGTTTGGTGGTGGGGCTTCAAGAGAGGTCTGTGAGGAGCAGGAAATGTGTCTATTACAGGCTGGAGGGGGGAAAAGCCAAGTCAGATGTTGGAAGCTGAGCCAGGCTGAGGAAGAATGATGGGAGCGATTCCTTTGATGCCATCAGCATTCTTATTGATCTGAGGCTGTTTATTGCTGCAAAACTAGAGAAAAGCTGTGAAAAGGAGTGAGAGATGTCAATTGCCTGGGTATTGTTTAGAAGATACACCTTCACATTCATTGGACAAGGGAGAACATGTGCATCCAGGCTTCGGCTGCAGGGTTCCACCCCTGCAAAGGAGGCAGTCAGCACACAGCTATCCCTGTGCACGTAGTTTTGTTGGAGAAAGTTAGAGCTTGATCTGCCCATGTGACATAAAGTAAATCTGCCCTGCAGATACGCTGAGGGGCTGGGAGAAGAGCTGCTGGAGAGACGCCTGGGGCTGGGTTTGCTGTGCAGCCATATGCAGGGAGACTTAACTGTGGATGAGGATGGGGTACAGTCCAAGGCAGATGCTGCAGAGAGGAATGGAGTTCAATATGTAATGAATAAATAATTTCACAACAGAAAATAGGTATTGTAAATGTGGATGCTCTTGTGTATATCCATCTCCATACAGAGGTGTGCATGTGTGACTGCATACACACAAGTGTATATGTATCATGATGATGCTGCCTTGAAAGGATCAAATAGGCATCATTAACATTAGAAAAGGCACTTTATGCTGCTTCTGTGTCCCATGTGTCCAGATGCACTGACCAGGGGATCCTCCACCTTATGAACTCATCTTTTCTTTGTTCTCCTTTACAGAAATCCGTGAAGCTTTCCGAGTGCTGGACAGGGATGGGAATGGCTTTATATCCAAGCAGGAGCTGGGCATGGCAATGCGTTCCTTGGGATACATGCCCAGTGAGGTGGAGCTGGCGATTATCATGCAGCGCCTTGACATGGATGGTGAGTCCTCACTGTTGATCTCTGTTACTGGTGGAGGGCAGCCATTCCAGGTGCATTGCAGCCTATGGTTTGGGCTCAGATCATTTATCGTCACCAAGAAAGGTCTGAATAGAGAGCTGTGAAACTTTGCCTTTTACCACAGCAAGGAAAGGGCAGATGATAGTGAGCCATCAACCTCCTGTAGACAAACCTCAGGCAACTCACGCAAGGGAGATGGAGCATCTTTGAACAGCTGATACAGCTGGGTGAAGACAGAGCAGCTTTTGCAAGGCTGTTGCAGCTTTTCTCTGCAGCCCTGGGCAGCATCTGGCCCAGTGATACATTCTCTGAGATGATCTGAGCACCCAACAGAGAAGTTCTGCTCTACCCCATGGCCTCACCACTCTTTGCAAGTAAAAAATGCTGTGGATGGGAGGCTGTGCTGTGTTGTAATGAAGTGTTGATGGCTTTAGAAGGAGAAGTTTAGAAGGGTGGAATAATTCTGAGCAAAGTCCTGCTGTGAGAACTCGTCAAACGATTGCTAAGAGGTAATAAAAGAAACAGAACCCACCATTAACAGGAAGAGAAAAATGCAGCATCAGGATGCTGGAGCCAGGGAGGACTTGTTAACTGCTGCAAAGCTACAATCAAAGCTGATCACAATGAACGGGCTGTCTTTAAAATGTCCTTGGTCAGAGCAGGAAGGATGCATGAAGTGTACAGGGAAGCTGGGATGCAGATCCAACCTTCTCCCACCCCTCTGCAAGCAGCTACAACAGGGTGGAAACACTGTGCAAAGTTAGATGAAATCAAACTGGAGCGCTGGACGCAGCCCTGGTCTGAAGGGGGATGCTTAGCAAGTCCATGCGATGCCAGCATCCTTGGGGAGACTGCTGAGAGCAGAGATCACGGGAGATGGTGACAGCGGGAGTGAATCTCTCCTACCTCCCTGGGATATCCAAGTCAAATGCCCTCACAAGATGCACAGTGCGACTATATTCATCAGCCCAGGGGGAGCAGAACAGAGGCTGTCACCCTGCTCGAGGGTGTTCAGCATCTCCCCTAGACAGGCAGACAAAGTAAAGCAAAACCTGGTGGATGCAGAAGATCAGTTGTTGAAATGATCTCACTCCTAAAAGAAAAGATCGGGGCCGGGGGGAAATCCATCACTTGAAAAAGCACTTTCTCCAATAATTATTGTTTGCACCTTGTTACATTCTGCCTTTCCGAGCAGACCAGATGATTTTGCTTTAGATTTGTAAAGGCCAGCCTCAGCATGGTGCCAATTCATGGGGTCTTTTACTGAAACACTGTGCTTTTTTGGAAAAAGAGTGCTGTGGAATTGGCTTCCAGTTTTGATTCATCTCCAGTTATTCCCTGACTCTCAGTCTCACAGACTTGAGACTTTGGCACTGTTTCGTATACAGTCCTAGTGTGCAGGGACCTGTAATCGGAGAGAGGGAGTTAAAATGTAGAGTAATGGGCTGCAGATGGAAGGTGTTAGATTCCTGTTTGAGACTTTTCAGCAAGCTAGATGTGTTTTCTGCAGAGACGGGAGGCGATCCTCCATCTCTTCCAGCTCAGCAGTTCCAACAGTTCCAAAGACACAGTCTGGTTGCACTGGGTGTTTTTATTGTTCTTACGTCTCAGCTGCCTGTTGTTGCAGTATTTTGAGCAGAGGGTTTGGGGGCATGACACAAGTCTGTGCTATGTGAAGGTCAAATGGGCCATACATCAAAAAGAGACAAGGTAATCGGAAATTCCTTAGGCACTGAGCAAATAGGGGAATATTATGTGGAAGATTTACCTTGCCTGCAAATTGAATTAATGCTCTATGGCTTGAATTGTTATTATATGGCTTATGGCTACTTTTCTCTGATGGATTGTCTTCTTTTTTTTTTCTTTTCTTTTTTTCCTGGGATTTAACTTGAAATATGTAGTGAGAACCAACAATAGCTTCCTTCTTCTTTTCCTACTGTGTGTAAGCATCATTCAGTAGCAGGGCTTAAACCCAGTGAGCTCCCAGGGATGCCAGTCATGCACTGCACCCCCAGCAGCATCCTCACATTCCTTGCCCCGTACCCCTGCTGAGAGTTGCTGAATTTTTCCAAGGCTTTGGCTCAGTGTCAGGTGGAAGGGCAGCTTGGCTGGATGAAAGGTCACGTTCAAGTAGGAGTCCCCTGTGGCCAGGAGAGAGAGGAGGGAGGCAGTAATCCTGCGCGTCTCCCGGCACCTGACATGAATTACGATGTGGCGGCAGGTAGTGCAGCCAGACTCTGTCCCTCCGCGGAAGGCTGCTGCCAGTGTCTGCTAATAATGAGGTAATACAATTGGCAGGGGTTTCTATTTAATCTGAACCAGCCTGAGCAGACCTAGTGCAAACATACAGTTTTCATCAGAAATTACCTTGGGAGTGCATTCTCATTGCAGGATGGCAAAGTCTCTGTATCTGCCATGGCTTATTTAACAGATGGGTTTCAAATAATGAGCAACCAGAGTTGGTCTGAATTTGTTTTTCATTGCAAACCCCATTTTCCATGGGGATACATAGGGAGGCTCAGCTCTGTCTAGGTCAGGATTAGGTCTTTTGTGTGTTTGGGCAGGATTGCTAAATTGGACAAAGAACATTTTAAGAGGAGCATATGCACTGTATGTTGGAGTGGGTTTGTGGCTGAGCATAAACTGATATGACAGGAGTATTTCACACCTGTATGTCACCTTCTGCCACAGAGGATCTCATTGAACTCAGTGAATAATGCAGCAATCAATTCCAGAGATGCCCAAGGACGGTTGCTTCTGGGGCTGTAGTGTGCTGCTGTTCAGTAACACACAGCGAGCCTCCAAATCAGAGTAGAAATGAAGGTGCATTTCACAATTCATTGCATTTGAATATAAAATGTAGTTGGTTAGAAAATGCTGCTTGAACTTAAGTGAAAATGGCAATTGCACATCCTGGATTTTGCCCAGCAACTCTTCATGGGTGTCTTATCGCTTTTAATGCCTCCATGTGTTACCACCAGCCTTCCTTCACAGATGACATGACAGCAGCCCTGGCATTGACAGAGTGGGAATGGGTGCAATGAGGGGGTTTGCCCTCACAGAATGTGACAGGGTAACGCTGAGGATGTTCAAGAGCTTCCAAATGTCCTCTAGGGCTCAGAATGGCAGGAGGGGACTCCTGCCTGTTGGGATTGCTAGGAGGCAGGTAGTCCTATGCCCTGAAACCCATGGCACATGGAGAGTTGTGGGTTACTTCTCTGCTGGGCTTTGGTGCTGTGGCACGGCAAAGCTGCTGCAGGGCTGGGGAAGAGATAGAAGTTTAGCTAAGAAACAGTACAAAGGGACTTTAGGATGTCTTGGGGCTGACAAAACAGAGCAAGATGTATTTTTCTGCATACAGGCAGATGCAAGCTCACCGCAAATCCTGTCCTGAGAAGCATCAAAACCCAGCTTCTCTTACCCAGGGACAGCTGTCCAATGCTTCCAAGATGCTGACTACAAGGTTGTCCATTGACCTGCTTTTTTACCCCAAAAGCTGAGGCAAGTTTGGGCCACTGAGACAGGAGATATTTGGTTCCTGTGATAGGTTAAGGGATGAGTAGTGGGAATTAGTGGTGGCACATGTGAAGCCCTCAGCCTTGGCTGAGGACAGTCCACGGCCCTGCAAGGGACCACATTCCAAGGTACGTTCTGTCCCGTTCAGCTTCTCTGAATGCACTTATTTCCAGGGAATACCTAACTCTTGCCAGTCCTCACTGAAGGAAGTAGAGCATCAGAGGCTGAAGTATCCACTGCACTTCCTACTGCCTTCTCCACCTTTCCTTCTTTGCTGTTCTGCAAGGTCTGCTTCACCCAAGTGAAAAGGAAAGCAGCAGCTGCAGGGGATATATTATAGTTGGCATAAAAAAAAATGTATCAGGGAGAAAAATAGGAATCTACTTGGAATATTTCAAAGTCACAAGATGAGACTTATAAATCATCAAACCCATCGTTTTATGAACTACTGGAAGGTGTTACAGCATTGCTGTGATGGGAGAGATGAAAGTACCCAAACAGAAGGGAAAGAGATTTGATTTTCTGTGCAAAAATGGCTCTTTTGGGGAAGGGAGGCAAGGAATTGTGGCTCCATCATATATCGGAGCATGAAATTCACATGAGGCCAGAGCTTTGCTTACATCTTTGATAGAAATGGTTCATGATGGTATTGCAGCAGAAGGTTGTTTAGTATAGCTGGGCATCTCTCCAGTCTGCTGTACTTATAAGGACTTACTGTTTGCTTTTGATCTGAATGTAGAGGCCAAATCTCACCTTAGTTTATACCCTTGATTTGCTTTACTCTAAGACATAAATTATTGCATGAATGTAAATATCGCAGACTATGAGAGATGCCTACAGTTCTGTCTGCAATCTGGAGAGTGACCTGAAGTGTTCTGCCAGAATGTGGAAAGTAAAATATTTCATATATTTATGTGCTGGAAAAGAAATTATTTGTAAATTCTTCCAATTGGCAGTAATGCTAATAAAAATGCAGAGAAATGGCACATTAAATGTGTTGCCTTATCTGGGATGCCTGCTCTTTAAGCAGACTTTTGCGATAAAATAGATGAATGTGTGACTTGAGTGTCAAACTGTTTCATTACAACATAAGACACTTTTATCTGAGGAATAAAATAAGCACTCAGTGTACTAATTAGAGGAGCAGCTGGTTTTCGGTATCCTGGAAAAATGACTTCAGGCTAACACCAGAGGAAAGAAACCTCCAGTGTGTCAAATTGTTTATTATAGTATAAATAGGAAATACTTTGATCAAGCAAAAGACGAGCTGGTTTCATCAGTGTACAAGTGAGCTACCTGTTACCTTTTATCACATTATGCGATGTGTCAGCAGTAGTAGATAAATCCAGCTATGACATCCTTGTGAGGCAAGAAATCCCAATTTAAAATGGTGCATATTCCCAAGCTCCTCCCAAGGGCTCTTTGTAGAGCAGGGGGGTGAAGATGCTAAAAAAATAAGCCAAAAA